ACTGAGCCTACGCTCTAGAGCCTGCGTTCCTAGAGCCCATGCTCTTCATCAAGAGAAGCCACTGCAGTGAGAAGCCTGCGCACCACAACAAAGAGTAGCCCCCGCTTGCCGCAACTAGAGAAAGCCCGCGTGCAGCAACGAAGACCCAACGCAGCCAAAAATATATAAATAAATAAATTTATATATATATAAAAAGACAAGAACGCCTACAATCACCACTTTCATTCAACATCATACTAAAGATCCTAGATTAGAGAGGAAAAAACAAAACAATGTTGCTCCCAGATAATGAGATCTATATAGTAATCCCAAATAACATACAAAACTGAACAAATTATTCAAATTTCATATACTGATCTGACATAAAATCAATATGTAAATATCAATTACATTTCTATATACACAACAAACAGAAAATGCACTGAAATGGAAAATACTGTTTACAACAAAAAATAAATAAATAAATAAGATGTCTGGGGATAAAACTAACAAAAAATGAGCAAGACTTGTATCCAGAAAATTATAAAACTCTGTTAAAAGAATACCCTAAAGGAGTAAAGAGATAATCTTGTCATGGATAAGACAGTATCGAATTTGATCTACAGATTTAATACAATTCCAATTTTAAAATTCCAATAGGGTTTTTTTGTGGGGGAGGGGAGTAAGGAGCTAACAAGCTGATCCTAAAATTTTTTTGAAAAAATCAAGCTGATTCTTAAAATTGGGGTGGTGGGGGGAAGCTAAATCTCAAATAGTGGAACACTCCAAAAAGGATGAAAAAAGTGGGGCGATTTGCCGTACCTGGTATCAAGACTTAGTGCAGAAAGGATGGACTATTCAGTAAATGGTTCAGGAACAACTTGTTATTCATATTGGGGAAAAAATGAAGTTGGATTCCTATATTATATCAAACAAAAATAAAAAACAAAACAATACACATACATATATTTTTTAAAAACTTAAGTGCCAAAGGCAAAACCATAACATATTCAAAAGAAAATATAGGGCAGTATCTGTAAGACCTAGGGGCAAGGAAAGATTTCTTAAGTTTAAGTCACAAACAGTACTTAACATTCAGGCAGACAAATTCAATTACATTAGAGTTATGAACATGTGTTCTTCAAAAAACACTGTGAATACAGTAGAAAGGCAAGTGTAAATTATGGAAAAACAATTGTAGCACACAGCTGAGTATTAGTTCCCAAAATATACATGAAGATCCTCAAATTAGTAAGAAAACACAAGCCACTCTATAATGGAATATAATTTGCAAAAATACTGAATCACTATGCTGTACACCTGAGAGTAACACAATATTGTATATCAACCATACTTCAAAGCAAAAAAAAAACCACAAGCCACTCAAAAGGAAAAATAGGTAGGCAGCTGAACATTAAAAGATATAAGCTTACGAAAGGATGATCAACTCATCATATTTCAGGACAGACAAGCTAAAATCACAATAAGATACTATTTTATACCCACCAGATTGGCAAGATTTTGCCAAAGTCTGACTATACCAAGTAATTATGAGTATGTGAATTAATGGGAACTTGCTGGTACTGAGGGTATAAATTGGTACAACCACTTGAAATAAAATGCATTATTTTGTAAAGCCAGTAATACATTATGATTCAGTAATTCTACTTACAGATAATAAATCTAATATACTAGATCTATACTTGAGAGAAAATTATCTTGTATATGTACATCAGGAGAGACTCAAAATGTTCACAGCAGAGACAATATTCAAACTTAGGGACATTTCTCTTATACTTTTTCTTATACTAAAGTTAGCTTTAAGAATTCATTGACTTCACTTTGTTATATACCTGAAACTAACACAACATTGTAAATCAACTATACTCCAATAAAAATTTTAAAAAAAAGTTAATTTGACTAACAACCAACCGAAAGAGAGTTCAGTATTTTACTTATTTTATAAATACCCGTGTGGGAAAATACCACTTCCCTGAATTCTGTGTTCCTGCAAAAAGCCCTAGCCTTCTGACATGCAGAAATATATATGATATAAAGATAGGAAATGTCTGTTTACATTTCCCCCAGAAATATTTCACTCTTCACATACCTTAAGAATTATATCTATAGCCAATTACCTAGTTAATTGCTCTGATCTAAAAGGATAGTTAAATTTCTCTTATCTCCCTGAAAGTGCCAAGTGAGTACACAAAAGGTTACAGTACAGATTAGGTTCCTAGGTTAACTCCCACAATTCCAGAAGACTGGAGATCTATCTCCCTAGGTATTACATTTCAAGGAAGAATAAATGGGTCGCAGGAACTTGGAGATGTCTTTAGGTCCAAGAGGGCTAACTGGCTCCTGAAGAGATTTCATTTATTCATCAAAGGGTTGGAGTTAATATTCATTACATTTTCAAGGATATCTTCTTCCAGAAGGGCAGGGAGATAGATGTCTCCTTCCCTTCATGAGCAAAGAAAAATCATTTTCCTCACCCCTTGCCTACTGAGTGTCCAACTACTTGCATAGGATAACTGACCTGAGTCTTGATGCATTGCCCTAAGGGTCGGAAATAGGGCAAAAGAGAGCCAACACATTCATTACTTACTGTGAGGTACTGACTAAGTCTCTCTCTGATCCAGAACATCTCCTGTGTGTATTCAGGATAAAATTATTAAGAACCCAACAGTCCCCAATGCACCTCCCATTATGATGACAACTATGAAGAAAGTAGCTATAGTTAGAATAATTCCCAGCGGGGTCTGCAGGAAAGGGGGCAGCCACACAAAGTACGTCAGTTCGTTAGATTCATGTAGTGTAACCTTATGGAATGCCTGTGCCCTCTAAGATCTAGGATCTTACTTTACTTCTTGATTCTGGGAAGACCCAGTCCTCCACAAACCTAATATAATACTTGCTCAGGTGAAAAACAAAATGCCAGTATCCTTCCTATACTGATTCTCACTATTAGGCACTCAACAGATACTGTACTTTTCTGATAAACTCCTCACTGTCCAGACCCACAATACTCATTCTCTGAAATTCAAGAACTGAACAGATTTGGATAACTCAATATCCCACCATATCCAAACCTACTACCTAAACTTTCACTTTATGAACTCAGGAACTGAATAGATTTTGGTCATGAGGAGTACTTGTATCATAGACAAATTTCGGGAGGAAAACAAGAAACGCAAATATAAATATAAAAGTATGTTCACATGTAGGTGAATGTGCATGTGTGTGTGTTCTAAGATGCCTACCTAAAGATTTCTAGCTGGTCCCAAAAAGTTATTGCTAGGTGTCCATCAATTCACAAGTGTACAAACTCTGCCTATGAGTTTTGTATATAATTTGACCCTCCATCTAAATATAAACGACGGATTGGTTAAGCAAATATATACGCATACAACAAAATTCTACGTAGCCATCTGTGAAGTTGCAGGTTCTGAAAATCACTGATACAACTCTCCGTGTGACTACCTGGAAACCGAGGCTCAACAAAATGAGGAGTAAAAAGAAGTCAACAGATGAAAACTTGTGGGCTTCCCTGGTGGTGCAGTGGTTGAGAGTCCACCTGCCAATGCAGGGGATATGGGTTCCTGCCCTGGTCCGGGAAGATCCCACATGCCGCGGAGCGGCTGGGCCCGTGAGCCATGGCCGCTGAGCCTGCGCGTCCGGGAGAGGCCACAACAATGAGAGGCCCACGTACCGCAAAAAAAAAAAAAAAAAAAAACAAAAAAAAAAACTTGTATTAAATGGCATACTTGTGCAAAAAAACTTCTCTCCCTCTCTACTGGAATGTCCCATCAACATTTAAACATGAGCTCACCTACCTCATGTTAACAGAAACCTTGGAATAGCCACTCTCCTCTGCAATCACCTCCTCTCCTTCAGCTAAATTATACATATTAGCATCACGTATTCATTTTCCATTCATTCCTGAATCCATCACAATCTGCTGCCTGACCTAGTAATCCCTCTACCCAAACTCGATATACTCAATACCTACTAAATTAGATACTACCTAGTAAATATCTCTTAAATCATTCTCCTTTTTCTTTTCTCATCCAACCTATCATTACCCTCTAAATGTAATAGTTTCCTACATCATCTCCCCGCTTCAATTCACTCTCTACAGAGTAACCAAGATAAATTTTTAAAACACAGATTTGATCACATTGCATACACGATTAAAACCTCATCCCACTCTTTAAAACCCATTGCTATAGGATCAAGTCCAAATGTCCAAACATTCGAGCACTGCCTGAACGACACTGCAGAATACAGCCCCCTACACACGTTTCTAGCCTCATGTTCTACCACTTTCCCCCAACTACTCTAGTGTTTTTATCCTTTCAACCTCACCAAGTGCCTTGTTCTTTTTGAATCTTCAAATATATCACTGTCTCTACTGGAACAAAGCACATCTGAGTAACTCCATTTATCACATAATCCAGGAAAACAGAGTCTCTTGCCTCATTCTTTTTTTTTTTTTTTTTTTTTCTTTGTGGTATGCGGGCCTCTCACTGCCGTGACCTCTTCCGTTGTGGAGCACAGGCTCTGGACGCGCAGGCCCAGCGGCCATGGCTCACAGGCACAGCCGCTCCGCGGCATGCGGGATCTTCCCGGACCGGGGCACGAACTCGTGTCCCCCACATCGGCAGGCGGACTCTCAACCACTGCGCCACCAGGGAAGCCCTCTTGCCTCATTCTTTACCAAACTATATACCCTGCATAAAAAAGTGATAATTAATAAATATTTGTTGAATATCACAGTCACAAAATATAATAAAGATACTTCATGGGAAAGACTGGTCTATAGAGGATCTAGTGTCGTGGCTAAAAAGAAAAGTACCAAAAGCCACCAAATTACATTAACCAAATGGCAGCAACAAAAACAGAGACCTTACGGTATTTTCAGAGGCAGAAATGAAATAAACCGAAATATTATCATAATCTCTTATTAATATGCATATTTCTAAGGGAGAATGAGGAACATTTTAAAACCTTTCACTCACAAGTTTTTCTTTCTCTAGTTTTTGCAGCAAATTTTCCATGTTACTTCCAATTCTTGTCTTTTCTACAACTTCATAGAGGCTGCAATACATTCCATTCTTCAAAACTGACATAGGAAAAAATACATAGTAAATATTCAAATCAAGTCTGCTTCTTATATATTTTAGTAAAATTAAATTGCTTTACCTTCATATGGACCTAAGTAAGTTTCCTTATAAAACAGCGCTGGAGGGATTTTCTGTTTCAGATGATCAATACTCATAACTGTTTCAACATCTAACTTCTCAGGACTGAAAGAAAATTGAAAAGGCGTATTTGCCTTACCTGTATTTTTAACTCTAGCAACGTTCTTTCTCTCTCGCTCCTTCTCTCTCTCTCTCTCTCTCTCTCTCTCTCTCTCACACACACACACACACACACGCACGCACACACAAACCCACACACACACACAAGTATCCTGATGGAATACAGAAGAGCATATTTATGAATATCATACTTGATATTTGATTTGGGCAGTTCAGATATATGTACAGGTAGCTAGACTGTCCAGCAATATTACCAACCTTCCATCTTTAAGCCAGAAACTAACCCTTATTTATACCAATTTTACTAACCACAAAAGATAAAAAGTTGCCATTTTATTAAATGCAATTCAAATATGAACAGTTAAATTAATCTTCAACCATTTATGGGGACCCATAATGTTTACTGTGGTGGTAGCAAAAGATCATTTTAAACCTTTCTATTCCAACATATGTTGCACAGGACTGAAAACAGCATATAAATTTTAACTTAACTCACCACATCAAGATGTTTCCAACAAAGAACTGATAAATTTTAAGTCTATCATGTTCAAATTGCTAAATGAAAAATATATCTAATTAGGACAAAACTTTGAAAAATACTTTTAATATTTAAAATCACTAAAAAAAAATCTTATGCCATAAATGTGTATAACTATTTAGCCCATCTGCAAATCAAGACAGAAAAGCATAGGGCTCATTCTGCCAACTAAGTTTCCAAAGTTATCAAATCAATCTTTTTTAAAACAAACCACTGTTTATATGTAAGTTCTTATGGATCAAAGTAAAATTTAAATGTAAGTAAGAAAAAGGAATTTTAAGTGTAAGTAAGAACTGAATAATTAGCAACTACTAACTGCTATTTTCTTGTAATATAACATACTTACAGCTTGATAGGCAAAAAAGCACGAGTGGCTGACCTCAGAGAAATATAACACAAAAGCTTTCCTTTATTTAAAAGCTGTCCTTTCCACAACGTGTAGTTAAATTTATCTAAATAAAAAGAATAATGACACAACTCAGCCTCTTGGCAGCCCAGAAGCAAATATTTACTAGAACTAAGGGGAAAAACATCCAGAAACACAGTTTAAGTAGAACCACCAAAAGAAACCTTGACATTTCTATTTACAGGGAATTCAAATACTAGGATTTTTGTTTCAGGTATCTTTTCCCCTATAAAATTATTCCAGATGAAAAGAATAACAAATTTATTTGCCTAAATGTCCTCATATCAGAAAGCTGAGGAGCAAAGACAATACAGTACTGCCCTCCTATGACCCCCAAAGGAGACTATACTAAATCCAGTTAACTACATGAATCCCTCACAATGTCTTACAGCTTCCACTTGCGCTCTTCTCATCACAGAGAAATCTGAAGATAGAAAGTGTCAATATTGCTTTCAATCTTCTCTCTCTTCTAAATTCTACACCTCTGATGAAGTTAATACTTTTAAAAGGCTGAGTTGTGAAACTTGTTCTATTTTTTACCTTTATCAACAAAGTGCTAAAATTCTTTGGTCTATTCACAGTACCAGCAGATTCTCAAAGGAGACCTTATGTTTGGATGACCAAATGTTGATGCTACATCATAACATGGCCTCGAGCTTTTTCATACTTTGCAGATTCTCATTCATTATAAAAATAAAACAAAGTACTTATTAATTTTTTTACTCTACATACTTATTCTTTCGATTTATAAAACTAAAAGAAAGAAATGTAAGAATCTTACCTGAGTTTCTATCTGCATTAAAGCTGTTAGATCTACAAATAAATTTTTAAAAACAAAAAAGAAATATTACTGATTTCTAACAACATGAAAGTTAACATTCAGGGCATTGATAGAAATGCTATTTTTTAATGGGATACTGTACAAGAGAATTAAATCCTTCCCTCCCAGTATGAAGAACAAATTACTTGTTACAACATTTAATAAATCCAAGTCTACTCAGAGAAATGAGAATCACTTACTTGGCTCAAATTACCGTATTTTCCCAAATTTAAGGGGGCTGTTTTTCCCAAAAATATCCATCAGGAGAGAATATAGTCCTTTAAAGTCTCGGTCAACTACTTTATTTTGGTGATGAGATGTGAGGAAATAGCCTCAATCATACTTAAATATTTACTAAGGTTCTATTATTTACTAGGCACAGTTCTGGGTAACAGAATTACAGGGATGAACAAAATCCCTGCCTTCATAAAGCTTACAGTCTCATAAGGAAGACAGACAACAATCAAAAAGTAAGTATATAGTTTACCAGATGATGATCGTTTTAAGTGCTATGGAAAAAAAGGAAGAAAGAAACTAAGGGTACATAGGTTTCAAAAAAAAATCATGGAAGGTCTCACTGACAGTGTAAACTATGCAGCTAACTGAGGAATGAGGAGGAATAGCAAATGCAGAGGCAGGAGCATTCATGGCAGCATTCAAGGTACAACAAGGATGTTCATTTTAAATGATATGGAGGGTCAACAGATCAAATCAAAGAGGCAAAGAAAATTAACAGACAATCATTATTCCTAGGGGTATAACCTTATAATTAAGTGCTGGGTGTCTTTTAAAAATCACTGTTGAAAGGCACTATAGTAAATGTATCATGGAGATCACAAATATAGAGCCACCGAAAAAAAAAAGAATGAAAGAAAAACACAACTGTCAGGATATTATGCAGATCAGTACTTGTGGCTGTGGATGGTTTCCAGGGCTATTCACTGACCAAAAAAAAGTGCTGCATCTCAAACAACTTAAATGAAGACAATCTGATCTGAAAACTGATTAAAAGGTTGACCTTAAAGGGCTTCCCTGGTGGCGCAGTGGTTGAGAGTCCACCTGCCAATGCAGGGGACACACCAAAAAATGCAAGGGGACACAAAAAAAAAAAAAGAAAAAAAAAGGCTGACCTCAAAAATGTTTGTTTCATGAAATGTGGCTTTTTAAAACTGCAGTATTTCTAAATTAATAGATATCACGCATGACTTCAAATCTGGGAACTCAAAGTAAAAATAAGTAGATATTTAACTGTTTCACCTACATCTCTGTAAATTTACTCATTCAATTTTGCCAAAACATTTTCTGGAATCACCCCCATGGGGGGGAAAAAAGAAACTGATTTGTACCTGGTCACCTTATCGTAGAGCTTGTAAGAAATCATCAATTAACTCATAATTAACTCTGACTGACCATTAGAATCACCCGGAAGTGTGTAAAAACTACCACAGCCTAGGCTCCTTCATAACTACTTGATTTAACTGGTTTGAGATGGGGCTGAGGATTTGTAGAAGCTCCCCATTTCCAGGAGAGCTAATACACAAAATTTCACTTTTAAAAACTGCATTTGGGGGAATTCGCTGGCAGTCCAGCAGTTAGGACTCTGTGGTTTCACTGCCGAGGGCCCAGGTTCGATCCCTGGTCTAGGAGCTATGATCCCACGTGCTTCACAGCACAGCAAAAAACAAAAAAACAAAATCAAACAAGCAAACAAAACTGCATTTGGGCATTCCCTGGTGGTCCAGTGGTTAGGACTCCCAAGCTTCCACTGCAGGGGGCACGGGTTTGATCCCTCATCAGGGAACTAAGATCCTGCATGCCACGTGACATGGCCAAAAAGAAAAACCCAAAAAAAACAGCTGCATTTATGCAGCTACACAAACCTTCAATATCAGGGAAAAAAAGGTTAACCAGTGAGGTTTAAGTAAATTTTAGTTTTTATTTCCACACAGTTAAGTATCTGTTCTTCTAAGTGACTTCTTAAAAGTCATCATGAACATTCATATATCTAATTAATTTCAAGAGAAGGAAAAAAAATGGGAAGAAATACAAAGTGTTCCTCCTAACTCAGAAGTGCAGGATACGTGATATAAGACCATTCTGGATGACGTCTAAAATTCATGAGTCTTACCTTGATGAAGGTACGAACTTCGGAGTTTGTATATCATCTTTATAAGTAAAAGACACAACTGCATATGGACACACGTGTCTCGGTCTTCGCCTTAGCTCATCAAAGCCATACTCATAAAAATAATACTAAAAATAAGAAAATGCAAAATTAACTTCCTTAAGAAGGCAAGAAGTAGACAGTGAAATCTTACAATTACCTGCCTGGTTTTTGAGAAACACAATACCACTTAAGTACCTTTAATGAAAAATATCTTTAAGCACTGCTTGTCAATTTAATTAAAATAATTTGTACTTTATATTCATTGTATGATATAAAATATTCTGCTTCTATATATATACCAGATGCCAGGATGCTAATAGGTATTCCAGAAGTTTACTTCTGAAGAACTGACCAGTGGGAATGTGCAACAAATTTCCTCATGAAAATGAAACAAATGGAGCCTAAGCTCCCAGGTCAGCCCAGAAAAACCAATTTGATACAACAGTAAAATACTAAGAACACAATCTCAAGCAAACCTAGCATTTTGCTCATTATTTCAAAAGAAAAACACTTTTTTGACTCCAACTGCAGACAAAGCAACAAAGGGGAGGTGGCGGAGATTACAAACATAGATGACAAAGGCAGCTGAACCTCTTCCTATTACCCTATCCATCTGCCTCTCCCCTTCACCTATTCACAACATTCATTAGATTAGGGTTTTCTGACCTGCAGTCTAGGGATTTTCATTAAAAAGAATGCCCTAGTTTATAAACAAAGCACTGTCCTTCAAAGTCCATTCTCTTGGGAAACTTCCAATAATGTTGCTGTTGCTCTAAAAATGCCTGGAATTTTTCTGGAAACATCAAGCCAATTTACAAGTTCTGCTAGAAAAACCAGTAACTACTTTATAGTTATATTTCATATCTACTAATACTACTGTCCAGAAGGTAATCAAATGAGTCAGCCCAGATGACTTTGGTGAATATAATTTTTGCTAAAAGCCCCCAACAACAGGTCTTGCCCACTGAGATTCTTCAAAAAGAAAAGAGCAAGAATAAACTTTATTTTATGTAAATAAAGTAAAAATCAAAGAAAAGAAAAAGAAAGAACATTTCCAGGGAGGTTAGCACCACCACTTTTCACATACAATCCATTCAGATCCATCCACATTTTTTATACATTTGTTAAAAAGAGTAACATTATAGTCAAACAACATATAAAAACACAACAACTGATATTCATCAAATACTATACTTTTAAATATGTGTAGTTTACTATAAATCAATTACATCTGAATAAAACTTAAAGAATGAATTCTAAGTTTGCATTTTAGAAAAATACTAATAAAAATAGAAAATATCTACCAAATCAATAATACAAAGTGATATGAATTAAGGTAATTCAAGGGGCTTTAACTTTACCTTAAAGAATGAGCAATATTTTATTAGACAGGATCTTTCTAGGCCAGGAGAAACCAAGGCTTCAAGAGGAAATGAGATCGTTGAGGGCAGGAATTATACAAAAAACAGGCTGGAGGTCACAGTCTACAGGCAGGGAGAGCTAGCTAGGCTAAGGAGTCTGAATATCACTGTAAGTCTAAGGGGGGGCCACTGTTACGTTTCTGAGCTATCTTGGAAACACTGAACAAACAGCAGTGAGAGTCACTGGAGTCTAGCAGTGGTAAGTGGAAACCAGAGTCTAGTGTGGTGGCAAGGAGAACTGAAAGGGAGACATTTTAAAGGACTTAGTGACAAACTGATATGAGGTCATAACACTAAAATGGATCCAGGTACTTACCTGAGTAAGCTCATAAGCTCTATAAGCCAAAAGTGATGTAATTCTATTGGCATTCTTCGACACATGACATTCATGCTTTGGTGTTGGGTCCAAAGCACTTTTATTTAATATAGATTCCAAACTTTTTACACCCATCGGGTCATATATACTCTTTATTTTACCCTAAAATACAGAAAACCTTTTAAGTCCACCAAAACCTAATTACTGACTGTATAACATTAATATTATAGAATAACTCTTTGAATATAGATTACCTATAACAACAGCTTTTTCCTTTAATACCTGGTAATAAAGTAATACCCAACACTTTTTACTAATATCGAAGCAGTAAGAAAAAGTTAACCAAAAAAAAAAAAAGCTTGTTTGAATTTAATACAAGGAAATAAAAATTTTCTTCACAACACTTCACTAGCTTAAATAACATTCTCAACATATTTCCCTCTCTTCATTCTTTTCTCTGGAAAGGAAAGCAAACTCTAAAGCTTAGAAAGCTCAGATTAAAGACGGCAAACCACTCTCAAAAGTATCTTTATATGCCAAACACAAGCAAGCGCTGGTTTTTAATTCAATCAAACCCCTAAAGACAGGGTCGACTAAAATCCAAGTCAAATGCTGTCTTTGATATGTGAAATGTAAAAGTTGAAATTACCTTCATTATTTTAAAAATAACAACATCGCCCACTGCCCCAGCTTCCAAAGGATTAGCTTGTAATAAATCAGCATACCTAGAAAGATAGACACCTAGCAAAGAGGGAAAAATTAAAGTTTTGTTTTAATATGGACACAAATATAAAAAGTCCAAATATTTAACATAATAAGAGATAAAAGGTATGACACCTTTAAAAAAATGTAATGATAGCTGATATTTAACCAAAGCAAAAAATAAAACTAGAAAAAACATGAAAAATCAAAATTTTCAAAATCACTAGAACTAGACTAAGACATTAAAAAAAAAGATAACCCTTGTTTAATTGGAAGTATGCAAAATCAGAAACAAAGGATAAAACTGGTTTTCATTGCAGAACCTGAAACTAGTCTCTTTTTCTGGGAACATGACAAAGCATACATGAATTTAATTATTAAGGACAACAGCGAAATTAGATAATATATTTTTAAAGGGCAACTTAGTAGTAGGTAAATGAAAAAAGAAAAAAGATTACCCATGGAAGGACTGCCAAGAATTGTTATTTTGGACTGGCCCACCTGTAATCCTTTTTCACATATGCTCTGAACCTAAATAAACAAAACATTTCATCTTACAGTCAATACATTAAAAATGTGAAAAGACAGTTTGTAAACTTGTTTTAAGTAAAATCCAAGCTTCTAAATTATATTTTTTTATGTTACAGAAATTATACATATACATGCTAGTTTATGACTAAATATCAATGTGAAACTGGCACACACTTCCAATGTACCATAGCTGTAATCTATTTTTGTTTATGCCAGGTCTGACATATACTTAGAATTCATGGCATTCATATATATAAACATCTCCTTTTAGAAAGAATTAGTCCTGGCAAACTATTTAAAGAGAAATTAACTCCACCTAAACATCTTTGATCAAAGGAGTAAAAATAGTTCCCAGCACATATAATCAGTAATATAGACGATAATCTACTTTAATAAAGGAAAAATTATTTACTATCAAGCACATTCCAGGGGGGAAAATTAGGTTTGATCAAAGAAAAAATGAACATATTTGAAAAGCAAATTACAAACAATGAAATACCTTGCACTAAGCCATTTTTTCCATTTCTACAAAAAATTGTTAGTTTATAAAAATCAAGTGTATAGTATAACTCATTCACTTTGTTATAAAGCAGAAACTAACACACCATTGTAAAGCAATTATACTCCAATAAAGATGTTAAAAAAAAAATCAAGTATTGATTAATTGCAAATTTAGGTAACTTACAATGGAAGCACTTTCAAATTGTTTTTTATAAAATGGGTTCACTTACCTGATACCGATCAACCATCAGAAATGCATAGGATTCTGAAAGTTCTTTATCTAAACGACCATCAAACTTCAGTTCTCTTCGCTTTTCTGTAAACTAAATGAAATTAAATCTATAACGACTCCTTAGTATGTGATTATGTTTTTCAAGCTAAGAGTTTCAGGAAGCTTATTTCTAAGAAATTCCAAATCAGCAATTCCCTGGTGGTCCAGTGGTTAGGACTCTGCGCTTCCACTGCTGGGGGCCCGGATTTGATCCCTGCTCAGGGAACTAAGATCCCACAAGCCGCGAGGCATGGCAAAAAAAAATCCATATCTACGAAAGTGGAAATTATCTTTTCTCTCCCTGTAATTTCTACACTTCATTTTTTCCCATTATAATTGGATCTTTATCCTTACAATATAGTCAAATAAGCATCTAGTGCTAAACAATTTTAACTAAATTTCTATTAAAATCTTACCACACTCCAACTCTCCCATAGATTTTTTTTTTTTTTTTTTTTTTTCCAGTATGCGGGCCTCTCACTGCCGTGGCCTCTCCCGTTGCGGAGCACAGGCTCCGGACGCGCAGGCTCAGCGGCCATGGCCCACGGGCGCAGCCGCTCCACGGCATGTGGGACCTTCCCGGACCGGGGCACGAACCCGTGTCCCCTGCATCGGCAGGCGGACTCTCCACCACTGCGCCACCAGGGAAGCCCTCCCATAGATTTTTAAGTTCATTTTCTGATTATCTTTGGATCTCTCATTTTACCTGACATGGTGCACTGCATATAGGTGGTTTAATAAATCTCTGTTTAATGACCAACTTCTAGACTATAAACTCAATTAGGACAAGGAAAAATGTTTCATTTCTTTATAATTATATTCTCAGTGCCAAGTACATAAGCCATGCTCCATACCCATTTCCAGGATAAAAGAGTGACTTGATCTAAGTACATCTGAACTGTAAGTCACCCTAAACTGCTGGCTTTCACTTTTAGATACAAGCAAATAGATATGGAGCCCATACCTAACAGATTTACATGCCATGTTCAGGCTATTACCGATCTTCAATAATATAATTAATGAATCTTTAAATTTTCATATAAAATTAACAAATAATCCCTATCATATCATGAAACCACATCAAACTACCAAGGTTTTAATTTCCTCTGGGAGCCATTAACATTCATCCACTTTAGGGATCCTTTCAAAGTTAAATTCTCATAGCACTAGATTAACCAACCTATAAAAGTACAAAATTAATAGTATTTCATGTACATCAGAAAGCAATATACACATCAAATATTTCTAAACATCTCATTTGTATTACCTCAGGATTATTATGGCTTTTCCTAAATCAAAACTCAAAAAAAGATTCTAATTTGTATATGAAACTTAAATTCACTACCTAACAGGCTCAACTATTCCCCTTTGTTCTCACTTTTTCACTAAGAATTTCTACTAATGATATTAAGATAACTCAATTACCAGGCAATAACTGGGGAAAAAATTAAGCATATCCTAAAAAAAAAAAAAAGTATTGTATTTCATTAACCTTCCAATTGAGACATAATATGCTCTTAGAGATTCCATTTAACTAACACGCTTGAAAGAGCAAAAAGCCTTGTAATGAATTTACAATTAAGCCATTATACAATAAGCTATCCCTATGCTTAAGATTCATTGTTAGTAAAAGAAGTTATCTTACACAATCACACGTTAATTTAACAGAACAGATAAATGTAGTGCAATATCAACAGTGTTTAGGGAAAACAACATGCCATTTAAAACTTGTTTTTTCCCTCCATAATTTGGTTTTCCTAAGAACTTTAGCATTTTTAAAGAAAAGGAAGAAAGTAAAACAAATTCCAGGCTATTAACTGGTTCTGAAGAATCTTACAAAAAGCACAATTTAAAACATACCTCCTGGACTTCCCTGGTGGCGCAGTGGTTAAGAATCCGCCTGCCAATGCAGGGGACACAGGTTCGAGCCCTGGTCCGGGAAGATCCCACATGCCGCGGAGCAACTAAGTTCGTGCGTCACAACTAGCGAGCCCGTGCTCTAGAGCCCGTGAGCTACAACTACTGAGCCCGCATGCCACAACTACTGAAGCCCGCGAGGCATAACTACTGAGCCCGCATGCTGTAACTACTGAAGCCCGCACACCTAGAGCCCATGCTCTGCAACGAGAAGCTACTGCAATGAGAAGCCCGCATACAGCAATGAAGAGTAGCCCCCGCTCGCCGAAACTAGAGAAAGCCCGCACGCAGCAATGAAGACCCAACACAGCCAAAAATAAATAAAAATAAATAAATTAAAAAAAAAAAACATACCTCCTTTTCCAAAAGCTCATTATGTATCAAGCAAGCACGTCTGTAGTTAAAATTTGTTACTGAAGTTGGTTCAAGGTAAGATGAGTGGAGAATATTTAAAACATCTTCAAATTCCCGAGAGCCTGGAGTTAATGGCTGAAAAAGTGCTAAAATAAAAAACAGTATTAATTTTAAGATTCCATCTTAAATGTAGTTTTTTATATTTTTGTGGCTTTGTTAATATAACTTTTAAATAAAGTTAAAAAAAAAGCATCAAGGCTATCTTATTTTGTGATATGCAAGAGAGATACTTATTAATTCATTAAAGAAAAAACTCTTCAGCAGCGAGCATCTGGCATTACACATGCAGAAAAGGAAGTTACAATTTTGCAAAACTTAGGGGATGCTACACTAGGCAACCTAAACTGCTTAAAGACGCTCATAAGAACCTGTGCATAAACTCAACTTGCCTCAACTCCTATTTTATGTTACATTTAGGTAGTATGTCTAGGACCATTTATTTCAGCAAATGAAATGCTTATGCCATAAGTAAAAGGATAAAAACATTTAAGACACTTAGCTGTCTATACAATAAAATGATTCTATCTGGTTTTTAATACTAAAGTTAGAATAAAATATGCTGCATCCTAATTTAGCTTCTTGTATTACCAATATAAAGTAGGAGGATATTTACTATGAAAACTTGGTGAAATGGAAAGATGTGGAACTTTGGAGACAAAACAGGACACAAATATCAGGTCTAGCATTTACTGGCTTTGTGGGAGACCTTGGGTAAATCAATGACTTAACAAAACAAGCTCGGTACTTTCTTCAGTAAAAAGGAGAACTCCAGCTATCCTAATAACCACTATATGCCATATGGCACATAAGACAACACATGGAAAAGGCTCTAAGCACAGCATCTGGTGCAAAGAAAAACAGTAAAAGTTTTTATTCCCCACTCCACCAACTACTGCATACTCCCTTTAATTTTTAAAATACTTAAGTGAAATATACAATTTGTTCTTCAAACAGTAGCCTAATAACCTCAAATTTCCACTTTATGCATGAAATAAGTTATAAATTTAAAACATCAAGTCTATATATATACTTTCCCCAAACCAAAAGGAACCACTTATTTTTCACTGTAGATAGAAGTATTCATAGAACTTATGTTATATGCTATTACCTTAATTTCTTTCAAGATACTATATATAGAGTCAATAAATGTCATTCAAAATACTTTTAGGCCACTACTGAAAGCGGTGTTCTACTTGTACATACTCTCAAAGGTACTAAAGAGCAGCTGTTTTTACTGTATTCCCTATAACGTCAAATGACATATCCATTCATCCACCAAACCATGTATATATTACAAAAGTGCCTGTAAAAATGTAGCTTTCAATGAGAGAATGTGTATAGAACAAATGATTCCCACTACTTTGGAATTGCACACTAAAAAAGGTGGCAGCGGGATAAAATCAACATACTTACAATAATGCAATAAAGACAGTAGGAGTAAGCAGGGAAAAAAAAACACTCAAAAAGAACTAAAGAACTACTAAACACAGAGTGTGCTATAATAAAATTTACAGCAGATGGATATACTCAATAATCTATTGATTGTAAGCTCCATGAGAGGAGGAACTATATCTGCCTTGTTCATTACTCTACCTTTTCTTGGGGCACTGGCCCCAAGCTGAATGACTGAGTGAGTGAAGATGAGAATAAACTTTGTCAAGACTTTTTTATATTGAATACAAATATATTCTAAACTACCAAAATATGATTGTTGTCATTTTAAATTAGGTCTCACAAATTCAACCATTCAGTGATATATAAAACAAAACGAAAGCTCAAAAAACGGAGACATCCATTCTCTCAATTCAAATCTGTTTTATAGAATACAGTAGGAGAAAACGTTTTATCTTTGTGTCTGTCCCCAACTAAACTGGAAAAACTTGTGAGGGAAAACAGCACGTGGAAGTTTTCATAGGCTTTCCCATCCAAAATGAGCCAAGCATGATTCTTAAAGTTGGGTTTTATGCATGATTGATTTTTATGTTTCTAAACTAACAAGTGACTTCAGGTATCTAAAGATGTGACAAAAAGAAGTATCAAAAGAAGTAGCTTTAAATTTCTATGAAATTTTACAATCTACAAAATGAAATCATTTTCCTTAGCTAAGCTATTCCAACACTATTTCCACTGTCAATCTAACCAAAAGTGAAAGATTCAAGTTAAATCATATAAATTTATATAGACATTAACTTTCAAATTATTCTCAAAAAAGTACTTAACATTTGTTTCATTCCAAAGCAATGTCCTAGTCACCTCAAGTAATACTCAACTAGACTGCCAGTGTGAAAAAAATTCTTGTGAATAAAAATACAGAAAAAGGTGCAAGATTTTAGGTCTAACAATACCTGTGTCCTAGTAGGTATTTTATATTTCAAATATCTCAGTTGGCTTTACTAGTTAGGCCAAAGTTATAATTTCTAGTTTTTCTTCCCAATTATCAATTTCTGTAAGAATAAAATTATGCTGTAGCTATTTTTAAAGATTTCAAGTCAATGTGCTGGTAACAGTAGTTTAGAAATATAACCAGTTTATGTTCTGAATGTACATTCCCTGGTGGTCTATTTTGTCCTTAATAATCCTCTAAAGGACATACCTGATCAACACATTCTGTCACTTCTTTTAAAGAAAACATATATACATCACAGTATTATGGGTCATCACTGAGGCAATAATAATAAATAAACCTGTAACTACCCGTAGGGGATCAGAACATTTTATATATTTATCATCCATTTCACATAGGAAGTCAGAATCCAATATACTGTTCTCCGGATTCTGACAATTTTTGAGTCTAACTTAGTGGCTCATTATTCCTTTTCAGATACTGTACTAAGAGCTTTATATGCATTATCTCATTTAATCATCGAAACCACCCTATGAAGTTCATTATGCCCATTTCACAAATGAAACTGAGCTAACAGTTAACTTGGCCCAAGGCTGATACGTGAATAGGGCAGGTGTGAATTCAAAATAAGGCTCCCTAGCTGCAAATCTTGTTTCCTGAACTATAAGTAAAACATGTATATGTAAGTGCTGAATATAAGTGATGAAACAAATCATTCCAAGAGCTGGAAAAACAGAATTGTTTCCTCATTTTAGACCAAGAAATTATATTAGCTATATGGAAATTAGCAATAAAAGAAAAAGAATTTGATGTCTAGAATGCTCTTTCTACCCTCTTATGTCTTCTTTTGAATCTCATTTCTTAGTATTTCTTTCTCATTTATTGCATTTAACAGGGCCAAAAGCCATAGCTAACACCCTTTTTTGGTTTATAAAGGTTAACAGCAGTCGTAATAATTCTTCCAGACATTAAGAAACATATAATTTTGCTTATTTACAGTGCTTCCATCAAATTCATGTCAGAAAGATAGTTACTGAGTTGATTTCTGATAATTCACAAGGCTCTTCTATTGACAAAACTGATGATAGATGTGTTTTCATCATTTTTTTTTCTCTTTTGTCCACACTACATGGCATGCAGGATCTTAGTTCCCCAACCAGGGATCAAACCTGTGCCCCTGCAGTGGAAGCACGAAGTCTTAACCATTAGACCATCAGGGGAGTCCCTTTTATAGATGTGTTTTTATGGGATTCAAGAAAAGACTTACAAAGGCACTTGGAGATTTATAATTCAAATGAGGAGACTGTCTATATCACAGAACCACAACTAGAATTGAGTATTTTATATTACTGGTAGCATACAAAACATACTAAGAATTAAATGTTAAACTTAAGCAGCTGGAATAGACATAAAATTAAGGTCACCAAATAGTAGCTTTGTTTCTTAGTCAAAGGAACATTTTTCCTCAACTACTTTTACCAACTCATTTAGTGTCAATGCCACTCTTTGTGTTTGTATTGTTTATGTGTATATGTAAAAAAAAAAAATCATAAGTGTAAAAACAAGCTAAAATTAAAAAAAGATGGACCAGCGTTATAAAAATATACCAAGGGAAATTCCAAAATATACATTCCAATTTAAAGTAATTCATGGAAGAAAAGGAAATGGCAAAGAGTAGGCTGCGGATCTCATTGGTCTGCAATACTCTCTGAATCCATCTCTCTGATGTCTATGGATATTAATGACTAAAATACAATGAATATCCATTTGTTCCTCATGATAATTTAGACATTTTAAAAATCATTTTTCTTCAGTCTAATAAAATTACTACAGACATAATACTGTAGGAATGGGTGATTCATCTCTACTCATGATTGAACATAGTGCAGAATCAGTAATAAACATTCTAGCAGAGATCTAGAGAGATAATATGAAACTTGACTTTTTTTGGACTGGGAATACGTCAAAGAAAGTTTTACCTCCATTACTTAGAATTTATATGCGCCTATCAAACGTTTTATGTGGATGACTGGATTCTGCCTGTACATTCCTGCTCAGATTTACTTCTATGTAGGGAAAACTGTGGTGCTTAGAACCAAGCCATTCATATACAACTACTAAAACATCATGTAAATTTCCTTAAGAAAGAGACTCAACCCCAAAGTCTTCAAAAAGACAACTCCAAATTTTGTGGGAAAAGATGGGGATTTGGGAGGAGAATTGGCCTTTAATTTTCCTGAACTAGACCAGTATGGATGCAGGTGCGTAAGAGCATTTAGTTTGTGATGCACCTGCATGAGACGCAGATGCACGAGAGCAATTAATCTTGTGCCCTACATAAAGCATTAACCAATAAACATTTTCCAGAAAGTGCATCATTACTACTTCATTTCCCAAGACCTTTGGAGGGAAAAATTATATCAAATACAATTACTGATTTTAATTTACTTTTGATGACTTACGCTATCAGATTTTAGAGTAGAAGAAGGCAATAGTGAAACATCTACTGACGAAGTGCAATTCCACAATTCGGTTAAATATAACAGTGACTCCTTACAGTACAGAAAGTAGCCCAGCCAATAAGTAAACAGAATAGCACACAGATCACAAAGAGTAAAATCTTACTCTTCTAGTCAACAGATGACTTAATCTGTGAGTACTTATTAAATGTGTTAATTTTCTAATGAACATAATTTTGGAATCTCAAAATTCCCCAGGGATGAAGACATACTAAACATCACTAAATTTAATAGTTGTTAAAAAAAATTTTTTTTAAGTGAACTAAAACTTTTCTACAATAAAAAATAAATAAGAAGTACTCTACACCTAGGTTCAAATTCCAACTCCACCATTTACTAGCTGTGTAACCTTGGGCAAGTTATTTACCTCAGTAGTTCAGTCTCCTCATCTGTAAAATGGGAATAGTACCTACCACATAGGATTACTGAGATTTAGTTAGTACATATAAACTTCTGAGAACAATGCCTGTAACTTATTAAGCACTATAAAATGTTTGTCAATATCATTACTTAATTAGAATGGCAGTATTTTGGATGTTATGCTACTGTGAAGACCAATAAAAGAACTGAGTCAAGTTATACTCACAGAGATTTACCTTTAAGCTACCAAAAACATGAGTCCTAATCTTAAATTTCACTGGTAAAGCAGTCACAAGCAAAGGTCTGCCATATTAAAATACGAATGCAACAGAACCTTTGATACTGAAAAGTTCAAGCAGAGGTATCTACTGAAAATGATCTAATATTCATGATAAAAGACTCAGATGACCACACCACTAATACCTAGCCAAATCCTATACATAAAGTGATACCTTTCAAGTCTTCCAAGAGGACATTATCTTGGGATCAAGTGTGAAACTAGCAGTACCTGCCGAACTGTTTCTGATAAAGCATTTTTTTAATGAAAAGTTATATTTTTCTATTAAATTCTATCACCAAGTATTAACTCCTTTCAGGTTGGACAGGATGAAGTCCATGATGGTAAAAAGCTGCTTATTTAAGTTTTAAAAGTGCTATTTAGATCGCTATTGCACTATTTGAACAGCTGCTGCTAAGTGTGCAAATATTTAGACAAGTTAAAAATTACTCACTTTCACGAAACATGAAAAAAGTCCACTGTGTTATATTTTCCTTACCAAAACCTCCCTAAGAGGAGAAAGGTAACAAATTTCCCCCAAAGAAGCATCAGACTCAGGGGAGAAAACAAAGACAACTAGGTTTTATATTTCCTAATTCCTCAATTATTATCTACTTTTAATGTGTTCAAATGAGGTCTATTTTACAGCAACCTCTGGATTTATCTAATTAAAAAAAAAACACACATGCAAACAGTGCCTTTCAACATTTCCTAGTGCCCTCCCACATTTCAACCCAAATGGGTTTTATGCCAATTTCCTGGTCCTATCAAAAATTAAAAGGAGGTACATCATGCTTTGTTTTGCTTAAAACCCTAAAAAAACGGACTTCAAAATTGTATCAAGCTAAAAAATTTTTTAAAAAGAAAAAAATTCAACCTCCTACTTCGATCCTATAACCAGAGCCCATCTGAATCTACTTCCAACCTATTCTCTACCAATTGATAACTCAGGATGAAATCTAATTTTCCTCATATAGACTCTACATCTTAACTAAACCAAAAGGATTGATAACCTTGACCTATACAAGAATTCTCTTGAACCCTAAAATGTATTACATTAACTCACTTAAAGGATACTTCTAGAAACATTCTGCATGCTAGTGGACAAAAGATAACTTCATCTTTCTCAACATGGTTTCTCACACCAAGGATTTCCCTGGCTTTATCATCCAAATAGAAATTAACAATTTGACTTTATTTGTATCTTACTGACAGAAGGCTAACAATTTCAGGTGTGCAAATGTAGCTGGTTATGCACATGGCAAGAGGAAGCACATGCTTCATTCAAGAGTCTCTTTACCAAGATTCAAGTTACAAATAAAAAACGTTTTCCGCAAATAAGAAAATTCCTATTACTTTCCAAAGTAAATCTGAAAAAACGGAACCACGCACTAAAACAAAAACAGGCTTTAAATTGACTAAATCCAGACAGAGTATCCCAAATCGCTGGAGAGTCAAAAATTGTTTTCTAAGAATTGAAAACGATAACTTCCTCCATTAGAAAGGTGTCACAATACGGCATTAAGTTTTAAAAAGGTAACGTACTTCATTTAACTGTTCCCATAATGGTTCCAAAAACCAGACTGGACTTTTAAATATTTTTCTGAAGTTCTCTCATCTGCAAGATCAAGTTGGTGACTCTTGGGCATAAGCTGACCTCTATTTTTTTCCACAGGGAAATTACTGCACCAAGAACCTACCTTCCCAAGCTTCTCAAATACAAGAAAAAAACATACTAACGTTGGATTTAGAGACAGCCCTATCTAGCGCTTCAAAAACAAGAAAAAAAAAATCTACATGGAAATGAAGTGTGATGGCAAACAGCAGTGTGCATGAATCACATCTAACGGAGATGTCTAAACAAGGGAAGACGCTGACATCGAGCAAATTTCAAGTAGACGCATAGAGCTGAAGAATTTCCACAGGGAGAAGCACTTGTGGTCCTCTCAACGCAATGGCCTTGGAGAAAGCCCCAGAATCCACGGCCACGGGTTATTTCCACAGTGAGACTTCTCAGAAGCATCCTTAGGAGGACACATCAGCTTCTCTGCCTTCAGGGGCTGGGAGGGAGGGGCGCCGAGCACCATCTTTCCTCTCTGGGAGCTGCAGCCTTACGGACAAGCTTCAAACCTGAGCTACTTCCAACTTCCACGGGGAGAGGGGGAGCAGGGAGCGTGGTTCCACCGCTTTCCTCTCGCACCAAGCGCAGCAGCTGGGCGGCCGTGGCAGTGCGGGGAGAGGCGGCTGGCGCTGCATGCGTGTTTACGTGTCTCGGATGGGTGTGGGAAGGAGACAGAGAGGTTCTAATGAAAAGATGGAGGGGAGAGAGAAAGAGGGGTTGGGAAAAAGGGGAAGCACCACCTTTCTTTTCTCTGCTCTTCCTGGGGATCTGAAAACTCCTCCTAACGGGTCTTTCGGGCTCTTCGGGGCCTTTGGGCAGAGCGGCCGCGCCCGCCTCACAGGAGTCCTGAGGCTGCTCGTGGCAGAGGCTCGGGGCGGCCTCGGCAGCCGCGGTCTCCTCAGGCCCGGCGCCGCCGCCGGGCTCCGCGACGCTGAGGCCGCCGCCATTTTGTGGGGAGGACTCAAGCTCCGGAAGCGCCTGCTTCAGCTCGTCGTCTCCGCCGCCGCCGCCACTTTCCCAGTTCGCGTCCGTCGGCGGAGAGGCCTCCGCCTCCGCAGCAGTAGCCATCGCGCCGGCGTGAGGAGCGCCGGGAAGCTTCTGCCTACAAGGTCGACGGAGGTGGGGGGAAGGGGTGGCGGGCCAGCTTCGCCGCCAAGCTGCTCTCAGCCCACCCACCCCCTTCCCCCCCGTGGCCGCTGGCCGCTATCCCGGCCCAGCAGCCTCTCGGGGGCCCCAAAGCGGGCGCTACAACCGTGCGGCCCGACCCCAAGAGCCGCTCCTCGCTCGGGCAGTTCTTCTGCCGGCCCCCACCACTCAACGTGCTGGCGTCGGGGCCGGGATGGGGCGGGGCCATCTCGGAGCGCTCCACCAATGGGGGCGCGGCGCCCGCCTCCGCGGGTGCGGACAGACAGCGCCGGGGGGTGGAGCCTCGGGGCGCCGGAGCCCGCCAAAAGGGGCGACCGCAACGGCCGGAGAGTACCTCGACGCCGCGGCCGGCTGCGGGGTGGATGGGCCTCAGGACGAGCTGCGAGTTCCCGGACCACGCTCGGCCAGTGTTGCAGGCGAGGGAGGCGCGCTGCGCCAGGTCCCGAGAACGCAGGCGTCGTCTCTTTACGGGCAAGATTACCCGGCTTCTCCGCGCACGATTCACATCGGCCAGGACAGTACAGAGGCAGTGGTTGTGGGACGATCTCGGCTTTGTGAAATATTTACGTGCATATAAAGCCCTGGAGTGGCGATAAGAGATAAGAGCATGAAAGCCTCGGGGGCCCACTTCACCGACCTGCAGTTCCCACCGGATCTTGCACCTTTACAACACATTACTCCCACCCGCCCCCCTCTTTTATCTAGAGGGGTTAGAACCAGTGGCACGCCTCCAGCAAACAGTCGATACCTTGGTCCTTTGATTTGACTTCATAGCCTAATGTTAACAGGATTTGGTTCTGGGGAGCTTGAGGAGAGAGGGGCTGCTGGCTTTTAGATTTCCCTTTGGTGTTTCAGTTTTCCTCAAGTGCGTGTATATTAAAGAAAAATAGAAACGTCTGCAGCCACGTTAAAAAATATACAGCAAGCGATCGCTTTCCCTTAAAACAACTTGACAGTCAAGTAGGCGGCCTTTAAAACAGCTTACACCGATTAGGTTGAAACTACTATTTATTTGTGTTATGGTGAATAGAGAAAATGTAATATTTCTTAGGTCCTTTCTGTACGCTAGGCACTGGACAAAGCGATTTACGTATACTATGTACATTTAATCCTCACAACAACACATGTTAGGGAGATACTATTATGCACAATTTAAAATAAGTGTTGCATAGGGAGGGTGAGAGGGAGGGAGACATAAGAGGGAAGAGATATGGGAACATATGTATATGTATAACTGATTCACTTTGTTATAAAGCAGAAACTAACACACCATTGTAAAGCAATTATACTCCAATAAAGATGTAAAAATAAATAAAGCAGGGATAATAGAAAAAATAAAATAAGTGTTGCAATTAGGAGTATGGGATTAATAGAAACACACCACTGTAAAACAAGGATTTACTGTATAGCACATGGAATTGTGTTCAATATCTTGTAATAACCTATTATAGAAAAGAATCTGTAAACTATAGTTAAATAAAAAATAAGTATTGCAAGATATAGAACAAATTAACAAAATGAGAATTTGAAGCCAGGTCTGTTTAACTCCAAATAAAATACTTGCCCTTGACTGCTTCTCTTAAGACCTAATCTTCACAGCAGCTCTGTACCTTTATGCATTTTATGTATGGAGAAATGAGGATTGACATTTTGCTCCATCTCTAAGCAGTAGGATAAGGATTGGGACCCAGACCTCAATTTTCAAACTCCAGGAGTTGACTGACCAAACCTATAATTATAATAAAACCCTAGGCTTTGCCACGTGGCTGCTACTTAAAGAGCATTCCCAAGGGCAATAGCAAAATTGGATTCCAATGTCCTGTGATAAATATCATACCTGTTTAACAGCTAATAGGAAAAGCTAATCATGACTTGCCCAACCTATTTGAATCAGCTCAGTAAGTCATAGGAAAGTATAAAACAATTATTCCTTTTAGTAAATAGTTAATATAAAAACACATTTTAAAATACTGATGAAAACACGAGGGCCATGTTGAGGCAAAATGCTACATTATTTTAAGTTAAAAATTACCCTCGAAATTTGGAGGAAGAAGCTTTACTTGATAGTAGAGGCTATCAGAAACTCAGGTGTTGGGGTCTCCAAAGGGTAACTCTGTTGTTGGTTCATTAAAGGCATTTCTAAAAACTCATTTTTATCAGATTAAAGATAAGTAGGAACAACTGCATACTGGTGCCACTACTCAGCTAAGGCTTTCCTCATTTGGTCAGCAAAAGCCAGCTTAAACTCGGAAGGTAGAAGTCCTAGGATATGTATAAGGCAAACACACCAGTTGGTGGTAAAGAGTACCTAAAACTAAGCCCAGAGAGAACCATTTGTCTTCCACAGAAATAGAATCTTAAATTCAGTGAGGATAAAATTTTTCTTCATTCCAAGTCATTTATTTTTTTTAATTTTAAATGAATTCAGTATTATTCCTTATAAGGTGTAAGAGGATTGGGAAGCTCTAATATATAATTTTAGCTATATATTCAATTATTGTAGATTAAAAAATTTAGGTTCAGCTGGATAACATTACTACTATTCAATATTAGAAATATTTTTCAGTTGTTTATTGGGTGCTGTGTGCTGAGGATATAATTCTGAAGCAAAGGGACATGGGTACCTCTTTCACGTTTACAGTTCATCAGAAAATATGTCTAAAACTAGAATCTATGGTGACGGCTAAGCGGAGACCTAAAAGTTAAGAATCAGCTACAGGAAAGGGATAGAGGGGGCATAAACTTGCTATCTCAGGAACACTAACACACACAGTGAGATACAGAGGGTATCCACATATGTGTTTATATACATGTATGCATATAGATATCCAGTATATGGGGATGGGGGTTCAAGGGGAGGAGCTACCACTGATACACAAGGTTCTGAAGCAAGAGCTACTAAAGGTTAAAGATATAAAAGCTACCTTGGGGACTTCCCTGGTGGTCCAGTGGTATAAAGAATCCGCCCTGCAATGCAGGGGACTTGGGTTCAATCCCTGGTCAGGGAACTAAGATCCCACATGCCGGGGGGCAACTAAGCCTGCACGCCATACCTACTGCGCTTGCGCACCTCAAGTAGAGCCTATGTACCACAAACTACAGAGCCTACACACCCTGGAGCCTGCTCGCCATAACTAGAGAAGAGAAAACCTACAGACCACAACTAGAGAGAAGCCCATGCACCACAACAAAGAGCCCGTGCACCACAACGAAAGATCCTGCGTGCCGCAACTAAGACCCAACGCAGCCAAAAATAATAATAATTTTTAAAATTAAAAAATAAAATAAAACCTACATTGTCCCCTACCCTAAGTAATGGACAAAACAACACAAGGAAAACTAGAGAACAATGAGATAGTGTATAATTAAATATGCAGGGACCACAATTGCCTTTTTAAATTGGAAACACAAAAATAATCCAGTTCAACTCTTCATTTTAAAAATAGGAAAAGACAGTGGACCAAGATCACATAGCAGGCTAGTAAGAAGACTTAACATTCATTGAGCACTTTCTGTGTGCCAGGCACTGGTATTAGGAGAGTTACATGTGTTGAATCATTAATCCCCACAAAAAGTATTAATGCTATCCAAATTTTACAGATAAGGAAACTGAGACAGAGGGTTTATTTAACTTTCTTATGGTCATTTCAGTTTTAAGTGGCAGAACCAAGATTCTAACCCAGGCAGTCTGCCTTCAAAGCCCATGCTCTTAATAACCACCCTAGGCTAACCTCTCGTTAGTAGCAAAACAAAGTCCAGAACTCAGTGCATTTTCCACTATGCCATTTCACCTCCCTTCCTCAAACAGTACTATAAAAGACAGGATATAAATAGTATAACTCAGCAATAACTGCCAGTATTACTGAAGCGTAAACCTTTGAGCTAGCAATTTTACTTCTAGAAATTTGTAGTAGAGATATGCTCATTCACATGTGAAAGGTTTATTCAAGGATATCCATTGTTATTTGTAATGGGATATCAAGTGTTGTTTGTAATAGTAAATAATTGGAAACTAAATGTCTATCAATAGGGTATACCCATAAAATAGATACTGATACATGCCAAAACATGGATGCATCTTGAAAACATGCTAAGTGAAAGAAGCCAGACACAAAAATCCACATACTGTGTGATTCCATTCACATGAAAGTTTAGAATAGTCAAATCCATAGAAACAGAGAGAAGATTGATGGTTACCAGGACCTGGAGAGAGGGGGGGAATGAGGATAGACTGACTGCTAATGAGTATAGGATCTCTTTTGGGGGTGATGAGAATGTTCTGGAATTAGGTATGAAGATAGTTGCACAATTTTGTGAATGTACTAAAAACCACTGAGTTATAAACTTTGCGGAGCACAGGCTTCGGATGCGCAGGCTCAGCGGCCATGGCTCACGGGCCCAGCCGCTCCGCAGCATGTGGGATCTTCCCGGACCGGGGCACGAACCCATGTCCCCTGCATCGACAGGCGGACTCTCAACCACTGCGCCACCAGGGAAGCCCGAGTTATACACTTTAAAGTATATAAGGATTGATTTCATGATATATGAATTATGTCTGAATTTTTTTTAAAATAGAGGACCTAGGTATTACCAGAGGACAGAGATTCCAAGCAGCAGGGAGTCTCTCCCATTGCTGGCTTTGAAGAAGCAGCCTGCCATAAATTCTACAGGTGCCAACACCTTGAGAGATCTTGGAAGCAAATTCTTTCCTAGTGAGTCTCCAGGTAAGAATGCAGTCCAGCTGACATCATGATTTCAGCTGTGTGAGACCCAGGCAGAGAAACCAGCTAAGCCATGTCCATACTCTGACCTACAGAAACTGTGAGATGATACAAGGATATTGTTTGAAGCTACTAAGTTTGTGGTAATTCATTATGCAGCAATAGAAAACTAATACAGAGGCTACAAAACACCTGGCTTTTCTAAGTGCTTTGCACATGTTAAATTTATTTAATTTGCACAATAAACTCTGTGAGGGGGCTTCCCTGGTGGTGCAGTGGTTAAGAATCCGCCTGCCAATGCAGGGGACACGGGTTCGAGCCCTGGTCTGGGAAGATCCCACATACCTCAGAGCAACTAAGCCTGTGCGCCACAACTACTGAGCCTGCATGCCACAACTACTGAAGCCTGGGTGCCTAGAGCCTGTGCTCCGCAACAAGAGAAGCCACCACA